AATAAAACATATTTTTTTCAAAACCCTAATATTCTTCTAAAGATATATAATTGATGATGTCATAAGATACATCGCCAAATAGCCATTCCCTGTGAATCTTTGCCGATCTTCAATGGGGGCCCGCGTTTCCGATAGGATTAAGCCAGACTTACTGCTCGGTCAGAAACACGGCGCGACGCAGTAACCTCCTCCCCCTGCGCCTCAAACCTAACCTCACCCCCCATCGCCAGGCGCATTAGAAGCAATCATATTCGACGGCTGCTACGTTTTGGCATCAGTTCGTGTTGCTTAGGCCGGCCGGGGCTATTTGCAGAACAATGATTGGTGGTGTCTTACTTCGTAAGGTCGATAAGGTTCACTTTTGTTTGTTTCCTATCCGAGTTGATTGGAGTGGTAACGGTGGACAACCGTTCTATTTGCTTTTGTTAAGATCGACTTGCTTATCCCCGTGTCGATTGTAGGACACTTGATTTTAAATGAGTTTGTTACTTTTTCGAATACAAGCTGAATAGATTTTATAATCTATCGATAACTTATTTATTCGATAAAGCCTAATTCCACCAATGTTTGTGTATCATGTAGGTAGTTGTGGAATAGGTTCTCTTCTAATCTATCGTAATAATTAGCATTATTATTTGTTATAATTAAGAAAATTTGTTATTTTTTTACTAAATCTTTCTTTGGATCAACGTATTAAAAAATGAAAGGCGAAATTAAATTTTTTTTTTTTCAATATATTATTATAACCTAATTTTGTATAAAAAGTACGGTAGTTTTTATAGTGGCAGGCTAAGGAATCCAGTAAACCGTGTCATCCCGTTGATGTCGTAAGAAGTGACAAGGGAATACGGACACAGGAAATGTGCTGCAGCATGTTCCTGATAACAAATAAAAATAATAAGAGGCTGCGGTTGCCAAGCGTGGCAACTAAAGCAAATATCTGGTTATAGATAATTACTATAAAAAGGGTAGCATTTCACTTGATGATAAGTTACAATATTCAAATTAATAATTATTTAGGAGTATACATAATGCAAATTTGCTGTATTTTATACGTGGTAGAGCCATGCTGCAGCTATATTAATAGTTTAGTTGTAGCACGAACGGGTCGACTCGATCGGGGAAGGACCACGCACTCACAGAATACCAGCGTAAAATAGCAGCTTAACGCTGCTGTGTTTCGTATGGTGAGTGTAGAGAACCGGAGAGCCTTTTTACTGGAAAAGTAGCACTCTATCGTAGTCCTCACAGCATCGCATCTACATTTTGATTCGCAATCGAGGATAGATGTAGATGTCTATGGGCCACAGCAACCACTTACCATCAGGTGGACTGTGTGCTTGTTTGTCACCATTATCATAAAAAAAAATATTATTCTATAAAAGTAAAGAATTTCGTGACATATAGTTTTTTAAGTTAACTTTTTTAAACAATTATGTGTATCATCTGATCTTTTAAAAGGAAATGAGACCTATTTTCAGCAGTGGACTTTGATAAGTCGCAAAGGTGATTATGATTAGCCCAAATTAAATTTATATTATTACGTAAGTCTTTCAAGTGAATACAAAATACTTGAAATAAAAAGTTCTCAAACAACAATAAATCATAAAATTACCCGTAAGTGCATACAAAACCATGTTTATATACATTAAGCACTATTATATTTGGGTACGTAACACTACAGAGTTAATTTCCATGAAAATAGTTAAGTATAGAAATAAATATGCATTATTCTGCTCATCCATACGTCTAATACGATTCGTAGAATTTCGGAATCGCCTCGGCGCTCGCTGTTTCTCAATAAACAATAAACATTTTCTGAAATAGTATAGGTTTATTCTAACACCACTACAGTAATACGCGCGGATAATACGAGTATGGTATCAATTTATTTAATGCAAATAAAGGAAGAGATATACTACACTATAATTGTATCGGCAGCATTGTACGTATTGCTTTGTGTTAATATTGTCGAGAAAATTTAAGTGCGGAGATAGGACGTGTGTTAGGTGCTTCCGTCTTTCTTATTTCATATGTTTTGGTTATTTAGAATATTCGCAATCGATGTTAATCTATTCTCTTTGTAATTAAAATTATATTAAAGGATACAACAATAGTGTGTGTTAATAAAGATATAGAACGTGTTTAGCTTCATTAACAATTTCTAAGTAATAGTTTTTCCAAGTAGTGTAACGTAAAGGACAGTTCATTGGAAATAATAAATTTGAAGATTTTGCTGTTATAAAAGGAACTTACTACATAATATTGTGCAGTCCTTTTGGTCTACTTCTAGAATTGTAAGTTGTAGTCATTTTTTAATATAGGTCTCAATTATAATATAGCAAAATATAATATATATTCAAGTGACATTGGGCCGGTCGTATAGCTAAAAGAACCGACATCTGATAGGGAAGAAAAGTTATCGAGTGGCAGCCTCGTACTTGTAAGCGAAATATTAGGCGCTCCTTCTACATCTAGCGACGACCTGGTAAATGATGCAAGAAGTCGATGAATGTAGGTGGCTCAGGGTCCTGCTTTGTAGCATTCTTACCGGAGGCCTTTGTTTAGCAGTGGACTGTTGATGGGCTGTGAGGAAAATGATGATAATGATGTTCATGGTTATATATGTATCATGGTAATAATAAGAATTTTATATTATTATTACTATGATACACAAAAAATAAGAATTTATTAATAATAAGAATTTTTCATAACGCACTTTTGGTAATCAAGCTTACTTATTACGAAATATAGAGCTTTACAGTAGCCTGTCATGTATTTCCTTCAATTTATTTCATTAATAATGTAACTTAAATCAACACATCGCTGTTTTTATTAATTATATATTATAGATACTATTTACAGAGGAACCTTGCTATACATGTGTCTCATTTTGTGATATTTTTACGAAAATAACTACTTAATTATCAGACAATTAATAGAATCAGGCGTTACTTTGCAGAAATCCATTATATTAAATTTAGTAAAAAATACTTTGCCTATGTCTGCTCAGTAAAATAAAATAATGTGTCTTACCTAGTTTGAAGAACTACTCCCAACACAACTTTTTTTTTATAGGACAAGGGTGACAAACGAGCACACAGTCCACCTGATGATGAGTGATTGCTGCGGCCCATAGACATGTACATCTATCCTCTATTACAAATCAAAATGTAGATGCGTTCTCACCCGTGAGGACTAAGATGGAATGCCTCATTTCCAGTAAAAAGGGCCTCCGGCCACCTGCACTCACCAAGCGAAACGCAGAGGTAAACCTCTACTTCACGCTTGTTTTCTGTGAGGTCGTGGCACCACCCCGGTTCGAGCCTGCCCATCAATACGGCAGCAAAAGCTTACAGTAGGAAAGAAACGCCACTGACGAGACACGTGTTTCTTCTCTACACGAGGCATCCTCAGGTGAAGTAGACTCAGTGGTAGCTTACCGCTAAGTAGTGATGATGGGATTAGTGGTGACGGGGATAGTGCACGTAATTGAGTGAGGGCGGGAGGTGCTCTTCAAACTAGGTACGACACATCATCTTATTTTATTGAGCGGATATAGGCGAAGTAATTTTTTACTAACTTTAATACATAATTGTCGACAAATTATGTGTTCAATGTATACACAATACTTACTAACAAATAGCAAACGTTATTGCGAAATCAGGTCACAAAAAAGATATCGAATGAAATAGTAATTTAAGAAAATAACGCAATAAACAGCATTCCGGTTTGTTGAAATGTATATTCAACCGTGACTTGTCGGAGCTTAACTCGACGGATTCCTCCGTAAGACCTTTTGACGCGAGTCGGAACGAGCGCGCCGCGATCCCCTCTCGATAACGCGAGCAACCCCCAGGTAAATAACGCGGGGAGTTTTCCTTCTAAATTCCACCAGACGCAATTCTTGACCTATTTGCTCCAACACGTTGGGGCAGGTCAGGCACCGCCATTTCTTTCCGAGAGCGCTCTACTCTCGTGATACGATAAACGTCGTGTGACGAAGTACGGAGTTAGACTTATTATTTATAATATTAAGGTACTTAATCTTTAAATGTGTAATATTTTTGAGTCTTTTTATTACATAACCTTACTTAATATTAGAAAGAAGAAATGCCTTTTTCGTCCCGAAACACAAATGTGCATTAGAAGATAAAAAACAAATTTTATAAAAGAGTTCAATTATTTCCATATAACAGCTTCTGAAATTGGTACGAAGACATAGTATATACAAGAAATAAAATCCCAACTTCAGAAGATGGTATGTGGAATTTTTTTACAATTTTTACAATTTTTTGAAAGTAGTAAGCGATAGATATCACAATCACAAAGTAACAATTTAAATGTCATCTAAATAGTTACATTAAAATGTTCATTCCCTATTTTTACATTCTTATGGGGCAAAATTTGTTTTCCAAATTTAAAATATAATCTATTTAATAAAAAATTAAATCGATTCGAAACTCACAAATATATCGCGTAGCATACAATTACACAATAGCAGTTGTCGGGCATTATTTTTAATTTTAATTAAGAAATAAAAAAATAATGAAACAATAATAGCAGATAAAAATCTGAAAAACTAAATTTAAATATATACAAAAAAAAAATCGTATAGCTCTACGGCTGGCGGGGTTCAGAATTAAAACGCAGATGCATTGTCAACTTTGAAGAACATCTTGCTTTATAGAAAAATAGAGTTGACCTTTGCTTGATGCAATTTAATATTTTGTGATAAAGTTTACAACTTTTTTACTGTCTACGATCCCATCTGTGTGGGAACTATTATGTAGTTTATTTCTGTCACCAAGCAATACTTCTGTGTTTACTATATTACTTGTTTTGAGGCATTTCATCTTCGTTCTCAGGGATGACATCGCATCTGTGGCTTTGTATGCTTGAAGTTAGTTGTAAGAAACCGATTTAACCACTACGATCAGTTGGTTGGTTAGATCATTACTCAAATATAATAAATAGGAATGATTATTACTTGTCCCCAGACGAGTCGGGATGCGAGGCTGATATGCTGGAGGGCTCGGAGGTGGGACGGCACTCGCCGCCCCGGCCGCAGCAGGAGCCCATTAATCTCAAGAATGAGGTGAGTTGGACATTATATATCGAAAGATGTTTGATATAGATACAATATCGAAAGAAATTAAACGTTCTAATTTTAATATAGGCGATCACTTTCTTTGATGTTACACGGTTTAATAACAGCATTTAACTATCTTTAATATAAGAAAATTTATTTGGGAGCCTTTGAAAGTTTGATTAATAAAATTGGAATGGTATTTTGCTGTTTGTTGGAATTGCCACATATGTTCATCAAATCGTCTGTATATTTTTTATTAAATGTTTCACATAATAGTTAAAAATAATAATGTAACCCCAATAATAGTTTTAGAAACATTTTAATTGCAATCAAATAATTAGATATTACTTACTAATACTAGTATTATTTATTCTGTGGCAATACAGACAAGCTTAACGTCTTAGTTCTTACAGGTGAGAACGCGGCAAAATTAAAATTTCAGTGTTACCATAGGCAAACTAGAATTAACTTAAAGAAAATTAACTCGAGTAAAGAATGTTACAGAACCAGCGTTGTCCATTTTGAGCACATCTGGGTTGATATCATGTGTCCTATGTTTAGTGCTAAACAGTAACTTAGTGCAGTCACTGCTGTCCGTGTTCCGTGGTAAAAGTGAAGTGTTCAACGTTTAAAGTAGAAGGTATACGTGGGCTGACTGTTAGCTCGCTTGTTACCCTAATGGGTATATAACATTATCACTTTTAGTTTCATCATTTCTCCAATTTGTTTGATTAGGTTCTCACACAATTCACACAATGTTTTACATAAAATAAAAAAGAATCGGTATCAGAGATCAGGTTTATATCACCATTGGTGCACTTGTTTGTCTTGAAGTTTTTCTGCTTAGAACTTGGCATACTATCGTCCTCGGCTCTCTGCTGATTTAATATGGCATCAAAATCACAAACTTCGCAATAGCTTGCATCTACATATTGTGAATTATCATATTTTTATTTCCTAAAATGTGTTACAACGTTTGATATATTACTAAAGGTCTTGTAGCCATTGCCACGTTTTTTTTAATACTCCTGCGATTGCCAAATCCGCTTTTTTGCCACCAGAACGGCACTACTTAGGAATGAGATAATAAATATTTGACAGCTTTCATGTCACAGGGAAATAAATTTGCAAGAAAAATGTAGAGCTACGCTGCAGCTATGTTAGTAGTATAGTTGTAGCACGAATGGGTCGGCTCGACCGGGGAAGGACCACGCTCTCACAGAATACCAGCGTCAAATAGCAGCTTAACGCTGCTGTGTTTCGTATAGTCAGAGTAGAGAATCGGATACCCCTTTTACTGTAAAAATGGCATTCCATCTTAGTCCTCACGGGTGACAACGCATCTGCATTTTGATTCTTTATTGAGGATATATGTGGATGTCTATGGGTCACAGCAACCACTTACCATCGGGTGGACTGTGTGCTCGTTTGTCACCCTATCCTATATAAAAAAAAAGAAAATAAAAAGAGATTAATATTTCTTTCTGAAATATTGGCTATGTTTTATATGAATGAGATTAAAAATGGATAAACCAAACGGATATTTCTAAAAGTTGAAGAATTTAAAATAGGTAAAAATACTAGAAACCTTATAATTAAATCATAACTTTTCAATGATGTGGATTGATGATACTGTATGACCATCTGTGTAACAAATAAGTTCAACTTAGTCCTATCGATACAGTTGTTTTCATATAATATGTTTCGTTTCGCTGAATTCGTCATGTACCATTTATTAAAAACTAATTTTATTACTTGTCATAAATTAATATTAAAAAAAAAAGTCAAATAAATTAAAAAAAAGTTATTTTAAAATACTTTATTCCAAGCGTTTATTACGGCACTTAACCTGCCAGCCCTAACTAGAGCAGCTTGGTGTGCTTCAGCCCTCTTGCCTCCATAAGAGGACGTCGGTGTCCTACTGTGGAACTCCCATGTATACAGTTATATGTATAATCTGTGTAGCCTATTGTGTTTAGATATTAATACTATATTAAACTTTTAATAAAAATTAACGATGAAAGGCTTATTTGCAATTATTTACTGAATGCTTTATTGTAATTATTTACTTTGTTGAAATATGACATCACAAAACAGAAAAATATCCTTCAAAGTGTTTGATTATTAATTTAATATTAAATATGAGAAAAAAGTAAATTTTAGTTAAGTTTACTCTTACTTTGCACACAAAATTGACGAAAGTAGATATTCAAAACTAATCGACCAAAGTGTTTATGTGTCGGGGTTTCGTAGAACACCCGCTTGCAGAAAATTAAAACATAACAAAGAGGACAAAGTTAAGCGTGAATAAGCACGCTTTATTCTCAAGTGTTGACCGTCGAGTTAGTCGGGTAAGCAGCGCTAACTAAAAAGACCTAACACAGCTTCCAGCATGCAACTCAAAAGGTCCGCGATTGCGCCGAAAGACCAAACATCCACCGCTTCGTTAGAGGCCCCCGAAAAAAATGCGAAACGATCAGCCGCCGACCAATCGGCGTGGTACCCGCGCAGCCTACTTGCCTCAGAATCTATAGTATCGATTAGTGAGAGCTTTTTTACCCGCACGCACTCACACACCGCCGCGGTGGGGGCATGCCTTTTTAACAATCTTTTTTTTGACCACCCCTCGCCCCCAAAACCGCCATGTCCATTGCGCGCATGCAAAGGCCACCCCCGCGCCCCACCCCTCATATAGCAGCATTGAAAATGGAATTTCCATGAGTGATGGAGTGTCAAACGGGAAGCAAAAAGGAGTAAAAGAACATTATGTTAATTATTGAACGCATGCTCCGTCGTCCGAGTTTAAATTGAATGTCATGTCATACTGTGTCGCGGCGTCCTACGTTTGTCTGTTCTATTCCGTTCCGTGCGTCGAGTTCGTTAATTCTTTTTTCGTACGTGCTTTTTTACTGATTAAACAAGTCTACTCTCGTAACTCCTGTGTTCTACCTACTCGAAAATTGTAACAAATTTTGGGTATTAATATTGAAGTTTTTGTTTAAAATATCAAAAGAGCTTTCAACCTTCTTATTCTTTCGTCTCAATTTTTTTCTTCACTTCAAAAGCTCTTTTCGAAGCGACAATAGCGTAACCGGAACTGGACCGCAAACTCTATGGTCAAGAGTTTTGAATCTGCTATTCGATTACTGACGTAAATGAGTATTGTATATTCCAGTTTAATCCTACACTGCTGACAATAAGGCTCACTTGACGAATAACATAATAATATTTGTGTTAATATGTTATATAAATTAATTAATTTTAAACTCCTTCTTTTTCCTCCGTAAATGTCCGTTGTTGAAAATGGGCCTCTTTCATTGTAGGAAAAATGTGACCCAATAGTCACGCTTGGAAATGACGAGACACCAGATGTCTTGCACCTTTAGCACTGCTTTCCGTGACAAGAATTAGTATTAGTTAGAATTAGCGTAAAAATTATTATAACATATATCTATCGAAAACTATAACTTATTTCTCGCATTCCTCAAAACACCCCTTATAACACCCATGGGAAGTCATTTAGTGACAGATTCCCTCAAAACGTCACCACCATTTGTTTCTGTCGAATATCGATTGCACATTTTTGGTGTCAATTATGACACGCATGTAATTAATAATTTATGATCATTATGAGGCTTATGTTGAGCAGTGGACTTGTAAAGGGCTTGTAATGATAATGCTGATAGAGATTTATTTATATTTTTAAAGCATCAGTAGCTTACTTGTTGAGGGTTAGGATCGAGAAATTAAAAGTAGTGAGTTCGAACTCGTTATTTGACTACTGCTGAGAACCGCCTAACACAAGCATTTTAAGCATACTTGATGTGTTTAAAGGGAATAATAATAATGTTGATAAAGTAGCAGCTCAAAAAACCGACAACCGATGGGGGTGGAGGGCTTTCGAATAGCAGTCTCATACCGGTAAGTAACTGCAGGGCGGCCCCTCGTTAGATGAGAGTGACCTGTTAAGAGATGCAGGAAGTGGATGGATGCAGGTGGCTCGAGACCATGATTTGCGGCATTCTTTGAGGGTGGTTTAGGTTCAGCTGTGGACTAGTCATAGGTTGTAAAAATGATTTTGATAGAATTACTAATATTTTTCTTGAAAATGGAGAATCTATCATCGCATTGCGTCCCGTCTTTGTAAAATAAAAATTAGCTGGCGGAATAACTATGTAGTGATGATGGTGGCAAAATTGCAAAATCCCCATTGAGGCAATCTATGGAGGAGGCCTATGTTCAGCAGTGGACTTTTATAGGCTGTAATGGATGGATGATTAGATGATAATCTACCAGGAGCACATGACCCACTGAGAGGTGAAATTATTAAATTAACAGTAACATTACAACTATGGCAAAATCCTCCCTATGAGGCAATCTATGGGAGAGGCCTGTGTTCACCAGTGGACTTTTATAGGCTGTAATGTATGGTTGGATGAAAGGATGAATAGATAATGTTCGAACCGATAACGGAAAGCAGTCTGAGATGCCCACCGTCTTGTTCTGTGATTATATCAAATGAAGAACTCAGCGAGGTTTGAATTATATTTACTATATTTAAAGATTTCAATGAAACTCAATTAAATGTAAAATTTCATTTCGCTGACTTATACATTTATCATCCTTGGTTTGTTTCTTAAGATGTTATATGATTTATGCCCTCAGCTATAATTACAGTTTGCAATTTAAATAAATTAAAGATGGAATAAAACTCATCGGTTATTGAAGATCGATTTTTCGATGTTTATTTCAAATTTTAAACCGTTAATATAATAGCAGTAATAAAATATAAAACTGCAATATTAATTAACGAACTAGTTTCATGTGTGTGGCCGTAATTCAAAATAACGATATGTGGTTCGAAAAAAAAATTATAGTCGTAGTATTCGTTTAAATCTACTTGATTCCCTTTTACTCCTTTTACGAGAATATGATGGAACAAGGCCGAGTCGGTCCAAAAGTAATTTACGTAAAGTTTTTGCGTAGGACGCGATAGCGTAAAGCGT